GAAGCCGAATGCAAAGCATAAACACGGAGACGATGAAATGTCATGGCTAAGTAGCGGGCTGAGAGCGGGCCACTGTTTATGCGTTCTATAAATGCACCAGCATTGACGTCAAACGCTTGCATGAGTGGAATGTTGTTTTCTGGGTAAACTTCGATGTGTGGTGCGGAATTCGGCTCATGCCGCTCTTTAGAAAAAGAGGCAGGGAGGGGGGCCAATTTTGGGCTTATTACTAACTGAAATAGAGAGCTTTTTTTCCCCTCTCTCAGAGAAAATTGTATGATTATATTAAAAAAAACATTAAGATTCTCAAAGTTCTTGGACTTCTAGAGTTCTAGTTTACTGAAGTAATTAAATCGGGCTTTGTTCTATAGCAAGGCACAGTTCACAAAGGTTTTTATTAGCTGTTTAGTTTTTTACGTTAATGTTCAGAGTCCTTAACGTGAGTCAAACTTATTATTGGCAACATTTGTAATAGAAAACATAAAAACATAGCATTTCAAGTAAAATTTCAAGTAAAACATAACAATGACAGATGCTGTAAAACCCTGAAAACTCCAAGAATCTGTGGACAAACCTCTAGAGTTTACGATGACTAAGCTAATCAGAAGAGAGGCACAGGCCAAAACCAACCCAGTGCAAAAAATCCAGCCCTCACCCCATCTCTGGGTGTCCTGGGTCCAGTCCAGTCACCAGCCCCTCCAGCATCTGCGACAAATATAGCGTCTGGCTTTGACAACGTATGACTTTCTCTGAGGTTAAATCAGGAGCCAATCTCTTTCTCTCGCTCTCTCTCTCTCGTAATTGCTGAATCTGTTATGTGTGCCCAGCTTCCGTTTCGTGTCCATGGATGTGACACCATGACCGCAGCACTGAGACGAAGCACGCTAGCACTGATTACCGTGAATGAAAACTAGCAGAGGCCACTTAGCACTACGTACGTAGCTTTCATTCATTGCTAACATATTAGTATTTCTGGACAAAGTGTTCCTTCACTGACACTGGGCCACAAACTCAAGCACTTGCCTTGCAGAGTTTGGAGACCCTGTCTCCACCACAGACAAGCCCTGTGTAGGCAGGAGCTCATTTGGGCATCCCACATCCACATGGAGAATGGAGAAATTCCCTTTGTGGCCTGCTCTCCTCAATGTGTCCTCTTCTATCCCCAAAATGAGGTGGTTTGACCAAAAAATTTACACAACTTTTCCATCACCCTATGCACAGTCAATCAGCCAAGCCATGTTTGCTATCCAAAGATTGGCCCTTTAGCTAGAGCTACAAGGCTAATGTACAGTATATGGCCAAAAGTTTGTGGACACTGCTCATCCAATGTTTCTGCCAAAATCAAGAGTATTAAAAAGACCTGTGTTCCCCCCCCCCTGCTGCAGTAACTGTCTCTACTCTTCTGGGAAGGCTTTACACTAAATGTTGGAACACTGCTGTGAGGATTTGATTGCATTCAGCTACAAGAGCATTAGTGAGGTCAGCTCTTGATGTTAAATGATTAGTTCTGGATCACCAACACCCCTCCAACTCCTCCTAAAGGTACTGGATGGAGCTCCATCACTCCACAGAACGCAGGGCTCAATGCCCAATGCTGGGGGGGGGCTTTATACCCCTCTAGCTGATGCTTAGCACTCTGCATGGTGATGTTAGACTCATGTGCGGCTGCTCAAGCATGTCCCATTCCATTGGCACTGCTCTTCTATGAAGACTATACAAGCTTTGGGTGCATTCAAACTCCTGTGTCAGCAATGGGTGAACCTTAATGCACCTGAATTCACCACTAAGAAGGGGTGGCCACAAACTTTTGGACATATAGTGTAGCAAACAAGTAATGGAAGCTAATACTGCAACGATTCTGAGAACTGCATCTCCATATTGTCACACTGTGTCAAATTGATGGGTATCAAACAGACTTGTTTACATGGTTTCCAACACAATGACATACAGCTATTGACAAAAACAGAAAAAGTAGAGACAAAATTTAAGCTTCAAGATGGCTGCTAAAGTTGCTTTTAGCTATGTGATGGTTACTCCCTCCAGTCTGTGAGTTACAACAGTTTTCAAACTCAAATTCCGCACATAAAGAAATGGACATTAAGGTAGTGTAGCCCTATGTTTGATGACTTAAAGACACACGTGGGTGTAAACAGACCTCTGACGGCATGCGTCATTCTGTGTTGAGCATCATGCCTATATTAGCAACTCCAGGTCTAAGCAGGTCTCTATGGAGAAAAAGAATGGTGTTTTCACGTCTTGCGGTAAAAACAACGTTCCAAACACAATATGTTTTGCTCTGTGTACATGTCACCCAAATTTCACTGGATCCTCTGAATTGCGAGGTCATTAAAGAGTAAAAAAACAAATGCTACTAGCAAGCTAACACTCCTGTGCATTGAAACGATTTCACATGAATGTAAGTCTACTATGAAACTGACACTAATGAATATCAGCTACTGAAACTGCAGCCTTCAGCTGCATCCTAATATTAACTTCTTTATTTGACAAAGTTTGCTGGTTTACGTGCTATTTGGTGAGGTTGCCTGTTTTACAATGTCAGTTGAATGCGGTGCAGTGCTCACTTGCCTGCAGCAACGTTCATATTTTGACTCTTTAATGACCTCTTTGTTCAGAAGATCCAGTGACATTCAGTGGAAAATGTATATACAGCAAAACGCATCAGGTTTTGAACACATTTTTCCCATAGAGAAAACCTGGGGGTTAGACCTGGGGTTCCTAATATGGGCATTTTGTGACTCTAAAAACACTAATTTCAGTTACTTTTGCTGCCTTCCTAGTCTTTTAACAAGACTCTAGCTTCAGAAACTGTTCAAATTAAGATTTTCATGGTAAAGCCTATGGCTTTTGCATAATGTATTAAAACCTGCATATTTTGTGAGTACACTGAATGTGGTCAATGGCTGTTATTTCTTTGATAAGGGGGGAAACGAAGGTCAGACTGTCTCTGGGGGAATGGCCAAGTTGAAACATGCTGTTGTCCTAACCCTTCACCTATATATCAGCCCAACTGTCTCTCTATAATAACATCCCTGCCTCCAGAAATACCTTAGACAGCCATAATAGGGCTATACTCTACTAACCCCTAATAATAGATCATATGAAAAAGAGGTGTAGGGTATTCTCAGTATACGTGTACGGCACAAACAGCACATGCTGTAGCGTCTATTTCCTATGTGAGGATTCTAGGTCATAGTGTCCCTGTATTGGATTCCACAGTTCCTATATTTAAATCATTTCTTTTACAGCACAGCGAAACAATTGAGGTCTCTGCCTATGCATACTGCAGTGTACTGCATTCTGTAAATGACACATCGATGTTGTTCCATAATCAACTCTTTCGACTAATTGTTGCAGCCCTACTTCATGTCATATAGTATAACCCCCATTATGCGAGCAGAGATGATAGTGGAGTTCATGGCTGGTGAAGAGGTCTGTGTTTGTGTGTGTACTTCCCATCGAGCCCACCCCCTTATCCGCCCACTGCCTCGCAATCCAAGACGGGGGGGTCGAGCAGTGGCCTGGCAAACAGGCATGACATACCGGGGACCCTTTATAGCACAGGAACATTGAGGTGGGGTGGAGGGGTCAGCTAGTAGTGGTGGGAACGATGAGGCTAAATTTAGACCAGCTCTTCATTAAGCTGCATCGTAGAAGCAAACAAACTGGCCACAATCGTATAACTCCCCCATAACGTCTTTTCTTTCTGCATATTTTTTCAGTCAGACGTCTGGGGAAGGACCCAGCTGAGTCTTCTACACACTGCAGCCATATGGCGGGGTTTACATAGCGCTTTGGCTGCCATTTGGTGAGGCAAACACTGACTCAGGTCCTATTCGTTTATCTACTTAATGGCCCGGTTTGACCCTTGCCAAATGGCAGCATGGGCTGAAGTTTTTGGCAAAGGGAAAGAGCAAGAGTCCCATAACTTCATCTGGGAATGTTCAGAAGAGGATCATATATGCAATGTCATCTATTGCTTTAAGGTTGAAGTCGCAATGGCCAATTCATGTATAAATCAGATTTCAGGTCTTTGGGGTTACACGACTTTCCGATCACATAAATTCACTGCTTTTAAATATAATTTTGATATTCAAACAATAGATCGGAAGCTCAGGATAGGATGATGTGCTTCTTTTGAGGGAAGCTAGCTAGCAGGTTTTCTCTAAAAAGCAGGCCTATCACAATTATTATAAGATTGGCTGATTGTTATTATTGAAGCTCACTGCAATTATTTTCCAGAATTGTTAGTTTTCACAATCATAAGTTTAAGTTGCAATAGAATGTGAGTGCATTTTCAGTCAGATTGAGACAACTGTGAATATAAGAACGCAGAAAATGCATTTATTAAAACACAATAAGGGTTTTACAATAACTTACAACTCGGTTCTACAGCACCTTTAGAAAGCAGTGTAAAATGTTTGTTTATTTGAGCTCATGCTTTGTCGGTCACCACTTGGGAGGTACTAGGTATTACGTTAGGAAGCAAAACAGCTAATCTATTGCATTTAATGAAACAAAAAAAAAGACAACTGTTAATTGCAATTATTTATATGGCAATTAATCATCTGCTAAAATGTCATGACGGTGACAGGCCTACTTGAAAGCTAGTGAGCCTATATGTTATTTTTGCTTTATATCTGCATAAATCTTCCAATTTATATGAATATTGTCTAAAAAAATCTATGGCCAGCTTTAGGGCCCATTTTCTCATCAAGAAGGATTGATGACAGTCAGCTTTTAAATGAGCATATCTCATCTAGTATTTGGAATACCAAGGCAGGTGTACTGTTCACTTATAGAAATCCCCAGTCAAGCTTATAAATTTGCCCCAAAATTGCACCAAAAGGATGCAATTTTGTTCAGCCAACAAGAGACACCACAAAACACACCAAAACAGCACATCATAAAAGCACCGGGCATCACAATCCCAGAGCACAAAGGCAGTCTCAGCTCTAGCTGTCTCCTCACGCCTCATTCACCGAAAAAAGCTTTTGACATCACTGCTGCGTCATCTGGGGAATCTGTACAAGGGAAAGAAAAAAAATCAATGCAGTGCTTTGTGCCTGCAGCGTGAATGAGAGTGTGAGTGACCATTCCTCAGAAGCTCATGGAGCCTGAGAGAGTGAGGCTCAGCGGTTCTCTGACGTCACTGAGGAATTCCAGCTGTGCTTATTAGAACAAGTATGTAGCACAGCGCATTTGTTTTTGGTATGTTTAGGGCTGCATGGCAAACTAAAACTAAAACTAAATAGTTTGCGCATCACTTCTTAGACCCTGCTGGAGCAACTCGCTCGTGTTTTGGTGCACCAGTTCAACCAATCAGACCACACTGTGAACGTATTCCAAAGTTAATACCTATATAGGCTGTACAACATGTTCCAACTTATTACAGTTTGCCACGATATATATTACAAACTAGATGGCACTGACCTGAGACCAGGTACTGAAAACTGAATTCAACAGAAAACTCAGCACTGGCCGATACTGAAGGTTTCAATATCGGTATCAACACTGCCGAACAATGACTATTAGAGCTAGACCAAAACTTGGTCAAAATTGAGGAAAATTTCTAGGACAATGCAAATTTCTGGCACATCTATTGGATTATAGTAATATGTTAGTGCTGAAATAACAGCAATTCACATGAACATTTTTTGACTGTTCTAGACTAAATTAAGACATGTAAACCTTGTAAACAACTTTCCACGTTTCCTTTAAAGCTTGTGACAGACATTAACATTTTTTTTGGCTTATAGCAGTTTTACAGAGACTCCATCAGTCAAGAGCCCTGACATGGAGCTGCTGCTGTTTTCCAGTTTAACCATCTGACTGAAACACACTGGTCAGGCTTCCACTCATATTCACAGTCAGTGGCGTATGTAGGACTTCCAGAAGGCCTAAAGTGACATTTTTTCCTCATAAAATTGGTCCCACCCATTGAAAATCAAAATGATTGGTTAATTTTCCACTGTCAGTTCCTAATTATGTATGTAATTAACATGTATGGTCTTCAGCCCAGCTCCTGAAGACTGAACCAGTGAGAAAGCTCACCTGAACGTATTCACCTAGACAACACAGCGGGAAAACAATCCTGACTGGACAATTTTCTACTGGGGGTTTCAAGAATTTAACCCTTTTGTTAGGACCAAAAAAGGCCTTGAGGGATCTGCACTGGGTACTGGTAACAGGACAGAAAAAGTGGTATCGTGACATCTCTATAAAAGTATTGCGATAGCTATCAACAAACAATACATTGTGTAGCCCTAGTAGACTCCAGAACTTACCGTAAAAGTCATGTTGATTAGGCATAAGCCTAGATTTTTCAGGCTACAAAGACTAAAATTTACAGAATTAAGCAAACTTACATAATTAAACATTACAGTTTTAATATAATATTGATATGTGACCAATTAAGTTCACTAGATAGTATATACAGCAGTTTACCCCCAAACAAAAGCTTCTGCAGTATCTCTGTTATTTGTGCCTTTTATTTCCAGCCTTACCTACATATAGCATTTTTCCTGCTATTTACTCTAACTTTTAAATTGTTTTTGTTATTTGACAGGTCTGTCTGAGTTTGGAAAAACAAAACAAGAGAACGATCAGCCACCCATCAAAGCACCTAATTCATAACGATTCGCCGGGCTTTTCTGTTGCATAACGGAGGTTTGATTAATTAAACAGCTCCTAGTGCTGAGTGAGGCCTATTTATCACCTCATTGTTAAAGCACACAAAAGCACATACAGCTGTACTATATATTATACAAAGCATGTGCAATGTTTCCAGATCAGTTTTGGCTTTTTTAATCTCACAGAATAACAGCAGTCGTACCAGATCCTGGATCAGCAATCTGAGATTTTCCATAGATTCAAACCATTATTTGCTTTATTTCTTCCAAAACTACACATTCTTCTTTCATATCCAATCCTGACAAACATGAGGCCATCTGTCTGACTCCCCTGCATTAATAAAATCCTTCCTCCAAAAACGTCAAACATCTAATGGGCCTCATATTCCGTCAATGACGAACAGCAGCCAACTCGCAGCTGCTCCATAAACAAACCAGGCAACCGAAATAACAGCCAGCGTGGGAAACACACACAGACATCAACGCAGGTGTAATGATGGTGAGGGTCACACTCTGAACGTCTTGTTAGATAACTGTGGTGCACGACGTGAACGGGACAGATCAGTTACAGTGGTGTGAACGTATGAAGGTCGTATTTCCTGCAGGCCAATGAGAGACGTCTGTCACATTATACAACAGCAACCCTCACTATGGAGCTCAGGATTGCAGTGTTAAAACGACAGTACAGAACATGTGGGGAGAGGTTGTGAACCTGTAGCTCCCAACGTAGCCATGTAATACACACAGTCACTCTAACAGACTGCAATACAGTACAGGACATGTAGGGCAATAAAGCTTCTGTTGTTTCAGGGCACCATAAGTGAAGGAATTGCCTACTGCATTGCAATCACCAGTTTTTTTAAGAAGTTTACATGTCCTGGTATTTTGCTCCTGAGGGTTTGACCATCAGAAGGTGATGTGAAACATAACCGGTTCTCACTCTCTGGGTAAGAAGAACTGCCTTCCCTCTTCCTCAATCACTCAGAATGATGCTAGCCAACGTGGGTGTCTGTTAGCTAATGCAACAGAATTGAGAGGTAGTGTACTCCTCCAAGCGTGTAGAGCTATGCAATGATGTTGTGTTAGTGTCAGTTTAAAAATAGGTGGTGATGCTTCACATGTCTCAGAGAAAGCTTGCACTAGCCCCCCCAGCTTGGTAGCCAAGAGCACTCCTTGCTATAAGCGACGTAATGGTCGCTTAGGGCCCCAAGCCATAAGGGGCCACTGCAATTATTTATTTATTATCATAATATTGTGTATGCCAGGGGTCCTTTTTTACAGTGTGACCCTTTCTTGGGGCTTAAAATATTTTGTGATCCTCTCTTTGCCAATCCAACTCCCCGCATCAGCACCCTCCAGCATCCCCTCCCCCCCACAAACTAATATAGACATTAACAAAATTCTAGTTGAGTAATCAAACAGTAAGTCCACTCATTTACTGGGCCTTAGCTAACACTTCGCCACATATCAAAACTATTTAGCCTGGCACAGGAAATGCTTTAACGAAGTTCAACGATCAATCAAGACCGGAGAAACTGGCTATGATTAAATTGGGGAAAAATCTGGGCAAAAATAAAAATAAAATAATGCAAGTATTACATTGTAGGAATAAGAGGAAGCATCAAATACAGGTTCTTTTTTGTAATTATGCAAAAGCATTTATTACTGAAACACAACTATACATCCATTACAGTTCGTAGACACCTAATCCTAGACACCCAAATATGTGACATTAGGCATTGTTTCGGTCGTAGAAAAGTTTCTGCCACTCAACCCACCTGCTTCATCTCAGAAAAGCAACAAAAAAAATGAAACCTGACACGTAAAATGGTGCTACTGGAATTGCTAATAGGACTAGCCAGACAGTTTGGATCATGAGACAAAGAGACACTTGCCCTCTCTGGAGAGCCAATACGTTCTAGTTCACACAGTATGTGCTCAGCCTTCTTGAGCCACGTCCAGCGCTTTCAAACAACCTGTTACATGACCCTGTTACGTGCCACAGCCAGCAACAATGGATCCTTTTTCACCAAAGCCGACTTCAGAAATAGGATTAAAATTTTTTGTCCTCTGTCCTCTCTCTGTGTTTAAGCAAAGGCCACCCTTTGATGTGTTGCTTAAGTATGTAAAGGACAGTTACCACTTCATCTTCTAGACTTCTGCGATACTGCTGATGGGTTTCTGAGAGGTAGACATAATATCTCAGAGAAAATAAATAATCTATTTAAGAGTAAGGCCATCTCCAAAGCAGTTTTTTTTTCTTCCTCTAGAAAATGGAGGAAATTTTGTCCTTGCTTGTAAAAAGTTGTTCCATTATGTGCATCAGGTTCTCAAAAGATTACATCATCATGACTTGGAGCTTGCAGTAGAGAGTTTAAACTCATATGACAGATTCAGAAGTTCTGCTAGGTATTTTGGTTGCAGTCATGGTGTACAGAAATGATAATGATTAGTTACAGTCATAGTTACAGGCATATATTTGTGCTAACGTTGCACAGAACCTATATCATGTTAGTGTTATTTGGCTAATCTAAATGTTATCTTACACATGTTGTCCAAAACTCTACACTAACAGCATTTTACTTTCTCTTTGTTCACAGTTTCAATTCAAATGTGTCTGAAGCAAAGTGTATTCCTGATAAAATACATGCGCTTTTGATGGAAAAACTGTTGTGGAAGCTTCGGCGGTAAATGATGAGGAGATGATAAAATAAACCAAACAGGAGCTTTATTTAAGATAAATTTCTCAGTACAGTGGCTGGCAGTTGACTACTGCAGCTAAATGACTGAAGCTGAAAAGAGTCAGTGACTGAACTGTGAAGTGTTTAAATGGCAGCAGAGCTTTTTAACCATGGGCAGTCAATGGGTGGTCTCTTTTCCATATGCAGAGCATGGGGACATGTTGCCACAGGATTATACAAAATGTTTATACAAAATTTTACACTTGACTTTGAATTTGGTGAATTTTATTACTGGACATCCTGTCTGCCAGGATTATAATTTAACCGTCAAATACCGACATTTACCGGCTGATGGAAACCCTGAACAGCACATGCTTTCATGACCCATCCTCTTTTTGTCATTTTTGTGTATTAATGGCAAAACAGATATCAAAAAAGTAATCCAGAATCCACGCAAAACTACACTGACCCACCAATACTAATAGCTCTCTAAAACGCTCTGTAACTTTTATATGATACACAGAGTCATTCTGACAAATCAATTGTCACAAGGACAGAACTGGGCAAAGTGAGAGGACACAGCTTAAGGTGTGAAGATTAGTCAATTAATAAACTAAGCAAAAAATAGACAATAGATGAAATATCTGCAGCCCTTTTCCACTCTAAACTCCACAACTGGCTTTAGATCAGGGCCAAATCCAGCCCACTTCCCTCAGACTGCGGTTGAGTGCCACAGCTCCTCCTGTTTGAACAGGTGTCAGATAAACGCTGCTGGAGGAAAACACAGCCCACGCACCCTTCTATAGCTTCTCCTCACTGTACACGCAAGCACAGGTGAGAAATGGCCTGACCTTGACGCCCTCAGACAAGAACAACAACATCCCACCCGACAAGGACAAGTCCAAAACGAAGTTGGTTTCCCTAGAATTCACCTCTGAAACTTATTTTTCTAAAAGATACAAGGAAAACTAAATATTATAGGAACATAGTACACATGGTTTTCTTGCAATCTAAATGAGGAGCAATTCTGCCTAAAATGTGTTCACTTTGTCTGCAAGTAGCATGACGTTACGTAAATAAGTTTCATATAGTAAACATGAAATCTCTATGCAGAGAGCTGTCATTCACTTATTTAGTCAGCAGTTAAAAAAAAAAACTGCATCACACATAAATCAGGTAAATCATCAAATATAATATCAATGCCGCCCTGGGTACAAAATTGGTGTCAGAAGTGGGGCGTGTCATTGTCAGGAGGGGTTACATACAGCAATTCACATGTAAAACTGGGTAAAGAACATATGCCTACAATTACACATAAATTCTTGAACTGATCTGCATGTTATAAATGTGTTATCAAAATACTCCAATAATGATAAATATGCTATTTAATAAGAAAAAAGGAAGAAATATTAATAAAACAAGTGTTGAGAACTATTCCAGAGCAGGTCAGAGTTTCTTTCTTTATTACTGACCATAACTAAATGAAGCAACAATCTGTTTTTGGCTTTATTTAGACTATTAAAACACAAGTGGCATCTATATAATAACTGGTATCTGACATTTCTTTTGCAACTCAGCTATGCATTTTTTCAAGAACCATCCCGCAACCCCTAAAATTATCTTGCATAATGGCAAAAAAATCAGGAGTTAGGAGAAAAAAAAGAGTTAAGAGGTTTTGTTATGACAGCGATAATGTACTGATGGCTGAAACCACAAACCAATCTGAAAACACAAGTATATCAATTACTAAAACACTGTAGGCTGACTGAACAGCAGAGACTGAAAGCTTGGTGAAGACATAAGGAAGCCCAGTCTTAGCAGCGTCTGCAAGGTTTGGTCTATATCAGTTGGTCCAAACAGAGCTGAACTAGACATAACAGAATCAGCATGCAGCCACCACACAACAAATGCTTTTATGACACAAATATCAACATCCAGCAACTTCAAAGTCTACCAGCCAGAGCATTCTCAAAACACGAGCGTCAAACAGATCTCTTAACCTCTCTTTCACTCTCTCTGCCAGAGCAAAAGCTTGTATCTCCAAAAAAAGTAAGTTTCAGCAGAAGGAAAAAAAAACGTTCTTAACTTTCAGTGTAAGTTAATTTAAAGAGATTTTACTCTACGTTATTTTGTTTGTGAACGTTTGTGTTGGTCCATCCATCATGATATTTTGACATAGAGTAAATAGCAGCTGGGTTTTTTAAAATATATATAAAAAAAAAGCCAAAATAGAGATACAAGGTTTTGTTTCAACACTGGTAATAGTGTTGAACAATGTGCCTAAGACTTTTGCATATGTTGCACAACTACTAGTTTTGTTGTTTTTTTACTTTTTTGAATAATATGAAAACTCAAGTTTCGTTCCGCATTGTGTTAAAATTTCATGATGAATGGACCAATAGAAATGGTCCAAAATGACTTGAAAAAAAAAACTTCCATCGATAGTTAAGCACATTTTTGCTTTCTCCTGTAAAGTTACAATTTTAGACACACGAGGTTTTGTTATGATAGCGAGGATATATACACTGACCCATACATTTTAACGCTGTTAGCGCATTTTCTTAGTCAGACCCTCAAATTCATCCATTCTTCCAGCCTAAAGTCTAGCTGAAAGGGGACTGTCTCTATGGCTACATGACTACAGCTTTTAAATAGTAAGTTTCATTGATGGCTCTCTTGACAAGTTTTTAACAACTACTGCAATGCTGTGAATTTTGTAATGACTGAAGCATGTTGAGTTTGAGGCACCATTTACAAGCAAAACACAGCAATAATGCCAATAATATCTGTAATATCAGTAATGTTAGCACCGAAGGACCGCATGCTGGACAGTGCTCGCTGGAGAGTTACGGATAAATCAACAATCCGCAACTAACGAAAGCTATGGCAATGTGTAAAGCTATGTAATGTAGTGGTATGAGAGCAAGAGGAGAGGCTTATTTTGTCTGGTCATACAGGTGTAACAAACATGAACTGCTTATAAAATAGGAAATCTTCCTTTAGCAATCTGACAAATACACTCACACTTTATTTGGACGGTCCCCTATAGATGATCTACAGATACTTATATTATTAACAAACTTTCTGGTGATACTCAGTTGATTATCAACAACATTAGGGTTAGGATTAGGAGCAGGTGCAAAACATCTACAGTGGACCATCCAAATAAAGTGTTACCATATATATATATATATATATATATATATATATATATATATATATATTTGATATATATTTGATATATATTTGTGTGTATATATTCACTGTGAAAAGGTTTTAGACATTTGCACTGTTGTCTGTCTTTTAGTCCCCCCTTCCCTGTCACATACACACACACACACAGACACACACACACTCACCGGTGCTGCTCATGTTGTTGGTGGTGCTGTGAGGCAGCAGTTCAGTGGGCTGTTCCCGGCTGGCTGTGCTGTGTGCGTCTGTGGAGAAGCAGGATTCTGTCTCATAAATCGTCTGCAACATCGCGCACAGCCCCGGCACTGTTGGCCGTAAGAGCATGCCAGTGTGTCCCAGCTTCAAAACACACACACGCACACACACTCCGACCAATACGGCCACCCGCAGCTCACACAGTGCGCGGCTCACACGCTGAACGGTGTCTCGCAAAGTCCAGCTCGTTAATCAGCATCTGAATGTGGACAAAAAAAAACAAAAAAACAATATCCCTCTAGAAGAAGCCACTTCTTCCTAACAGTCGTTGAGCAACGTGTAAATGTCCACTTTGCGTGTTAGTCCCATAATTCCACGTTAAATAAGTCTCACAGAGACAATGTGAAGTCTCTACGCTGACGAGTCGCTCACTTCGGTCCTGGTTTTAAAAAAATTCACATCTCTTGCTTCAGTCCAAGTTCAGTTCACGTTGACGTTAATTAACGGCGAGACTCAGTTATTATCCTGTACAGCTACAAAGCGCTTGTATCCGGCACAAGTCTTGAGCTGTGTCTGCGGTAAGTCTACAGTTTGACTGGACGCCTTCTTTTCCCCGCGGGGAGATGGAGCAAGAGAACAGCAAATGAGATCAGAGAGAGAGAGTAAGAGAGCGCAGGCGAGAAACGGAGAGAGAGAGAGATGGTGGGGGCACGGAGAGAGCGACAGCGAGGGGGAAAGGGAGAAAGAGAAAAAGAGTGAAGGAGAACGATAAGAGAGAGAGGGAGAGAGAGTAAGAGAGTGCAGGCGAGAAACGGAGAGAGAGAGGGAAATGGTGGGGGCAGAGAGAGAGAGAGTGAGAGAGAAAGGGAGGAAGAGAATGAGAGAGAGAGAGCATCAGCGAGAAAGAGTGAAGCAGAAAGTAGATCAGTAGGCAACGGCTAGTGTCCTTCTCTCGGCCCACAAAAAAAGAAAATCTCCGTCGTGCTCAAGCCTTACAAAACCAATCAGCCGTCTCTGTCCTTTGCTAGTTTCAATTTGTTTGGTTGCAAATGATGCCCACACCCTCCCCTGCTGCGTGTGGAGAGAGCAAGAGTGAGCGAGTGAGTGAGAAACAGAGAGAGAGAGAAAGAGAGAGAGAGAGAGATAGACAGAGAGAGAGAGAGAGAGAAGCGGAGTGGAGCCGTGGAGTTTACAAACAGACTGGGCTGCTTCACGGAGCTGGAAATAGCTGCCGAGCGACAGGGGAGGGGCGGAGCGAGGATAAAAATAGAGGCAGGAGCTCAGAGCCTGGGGAGAGAGGGAGAGAGAGAAAGAGAGAGAGAAGAGGAGGGAGGGGGTACAGAGAGAGAGAGAGAGAGGGAGAGAGAGAGTGTAAGAGAGAAAAGAGGAGGGGGGAAGAGAGCATGAAAGAGAGACGGAGAGAAACAGACGGGAAGAGAGAGAGAGAGTGAGAGGGAATATATGGTAGAAAGAGTCATGGTGAGATTGAGAGTGTGGAGTAAGGGGTGAGAGAGACAGAGAGAGAGAGAGAGAGAGAGAGAGAGAGAGAGAGAGAGAGAGAGAGGGATAAAGTGAGGGAATGACTCTCTATCATGCAAATAAAACGAAGCCAGTCAAAACCAATTGCTTCCTAAAGCCAACAGGAGGCAGAGTGATCAAGGGATGCTCCAACAGCAAAACTAAACAGGACAATGGCAGCAGACAGGAAAACACACACACACACAGGGTTTTAGATCCAACTTGTGATTCTCCAGGTCAGAACTGCTTCCGTGTTACACAGTGAAAGTGCGTCAGCAGTGTTGCCACAGTGAGCACGGGGGTCAACACTTCACACACACACATAACTGGGTCACAGGGCTTCCACTGTCCGCCCAGCACTCTCCGCTTCTTCACTCAGCTCTTTGGGAGTTCAGTGTTTTGTCCAAGGTAAACCTTTTATTTACAGCCTCTAAACTGTATCCATTCACTGAGACCCATATAGACCATTTACACCACTACGATCATTAGCAACAGCTGCAGTTTATCCAGTTCGGTTCTTCTTTACTGTGATATATTCCTCTGGTAATCATGCTAATTACTTCAGACACCACAGCTTACTCAACTCTAATCCCTCTAAAGATGATCTGATTATTACAGCACAGCACTTTTTTATTCTGGTGAGTGACACTCTAATGACTTGGTCTGTTTCTCACGTGTGACCATATCTGTGATCATATCTGCAACAAAAGAATTTCACATAAACCAGTATACGTATGCTCACAGCCTACCAGCTCCTCCAGTAACAGAAAGTAGGAAAGAAATCTGAATGCAACAGAGTTATTGATGTTACCTGGCAAAGGTTATTGGGCAAAACTGCATTAAACTGAATTGAATCTGTGTCCAAAGGTGAGCTATATGGCAAAATACATTATACTGATACTTGAAAACATTTTCCCCATATATGATATGTATCCTGATATTTCTTTTTCTGACATGATAAGTCAGAACAGACAGAATGTACCAGTAGTGGCACATTTTAAAAAGAGTATCAGAAACTATGAGCATATAGATTTTTTTAGAAAAAGTTTTTTTAGGTGTAATTGCATTTTATTTTACATACTGCACTGCACAAAATAACATTACACAGACCTAATTATGATCTCTGTTTGTAATAAATCCAACAATATTAATGGAAAAACAAAATTTTATAGAGGTAAACCATATGGTGTGACACCTACAGGTCTTGGCCTTGTCAATAAGCACAAGTGCGCTGTAAAAACTCAACAACAGCAGACAAATTTGGGTACTGAACAAGGGACAAATATTTTCCCCTTACCACATACACAGTCAATCAGCCTAGACATGTCTGCTGTCTAAAGTTTTTGAACATTTTTTTTGCACTGGTATAAAGTTAATGTACTGCATGTCTAAATCATTGTACACTTGCCTCAAATCAAACTGTTAAATAATCTCTTGCTTATGTGGTTTCTGACACTCTACAATGTCTTCCTTACATGTTTTTTCAGGCTGGGTGGTAGACCTTTCGAAGCTACCTGTGTTGTTATGCATATGTGGGTCATCAAACATGCATGAGGTCTGAGTGCCATTATCGCACATAATTATTTTTAAAAATACAGGGATGATACAACACGTATACATTCACAATATATTCATGCATTCTCGACTCAGACTCACACCCCACAGACTCAAGACTTGACTCTGACTTGCACCCCACAATCTCGAGACTTGCATCTTAGAGACTTGAGACTCAACTTGGGCTCGCTTCTCAGAGACTTAAAACTCAGTTTGGACTCACTTCTCAGAGACTTAGACTCGAATCTCAGAGACTCAAGACTCGACTCAGACTCGCACCCCAGAGACTCAAGACTCGACTTCGACTTGCTTCTCAAAGACTCGGGACTCGACTCAGACTTGCACCTTAGAGACTCAAGAGTCAACTCTGACGCTCCTATCAGAGTCTTGAGACTCAACTCAGACTTGCACCCCAAAGACTCGGGACTCGACTCAGGCTTGCACCTCAGAGACTCTGTACTCAATTCAGACTCACAATTGCATCTTAGAGACTCAAGACTCTTGACTTGGACTCGCACCTCAGAGACTCGAGACTTGACTCAGGCTCGCTTTTCAGAGACTCAAGAGTCTCTGAGAAGCGAAACTCTGACTCTCCCTTCACAGACTTAAGACTCAACTCACACCCCAGAGACCTGAGACTCAACTCAGGCTGCACCATCGAGACTCAAGACCTTATTTAGACTCACACTCACATCTTAGAGACTCAAGACTCAACTTGGACTTGCACCTCAGAGACTCAAGACTCGACTCGGGCTTGCACTTGCACCTTAAAGACTCGAGACTCAAGACTCTACTCGCACCCTGGAGACTCAGGACTCGACCTGGACTCACATTAACTTGCATGAACACCACTGGGGGAAAATACTTCTATATGACATATTCTTACCTATAAAGAGAATGAGAAACATAAATCAAACATTTGAAAACAGTAGTAGCAGCAACCTTGACGCCTGAAATCCATCTGTATATCTGTCTGTTTGTAGGTGCTCATGAAAACGTTTTCCCTTGTACTCAAAATTCTCCTCAAACCTTAATGTTTTGTTGCAGGGCTTTGAATCCATAGCAGCTAAAATTTAGAATGATAAAATTTCAGACTGAAGAATACAAAAATTCTTTGTGAGTGAAAATGAAGTGCCTTAATGGCGCAATGCTCTTAACGGCAAATCATCTATTAAGCGAAATTAGTAGGAGGAAATTAATATAATTAGTTTTTTTTTTCATTGTTAAGCTTAATTGCCAAATGAAAACATTGTCACCCATTAGACATCAGAGGCCTTCTACAGAATTCATTTATTTAAATGGAGGTGTTTTATCACAATCCATGGGTAAGTTTTGAGGTGCGTTAGACTTGTTGAAATGCACTTTAAAGTTTTCCTTACCAGTATGAGCAACAAAAGCATTCCTGACCTTGAAACCTCACCAAAAGTCTGGACCTAAGTGGACACAGTTATTTTTAATTGAGACACTTCACTTAAACTTCATGCTTAAACTTCTCTAACACTATATTATCCCACAGATATTACAAATAACACTTTCAGTGCAAATAGATACACAATTAGACTAATTAACCCTTTAGCGGTGTTCATGTTTTTGTTACTCTGTGGTCTGGTGAACCCACCGCATTACTGTTTTTTTTAAATCAATACAGCCATAACAATTTATGTAAAAATACAAGATGTTTAAAATATCACAAGTGGTCAGCGTAGGGTTCTCCTGTAGCAGCTGTAGCCAGTCAGCAGCTTGTCCATGTTGTCCACCCTCACACACACATATACACACACATATACAAACACATATACAAACACATATACACACAGACACACACACTAACAGCAGGCCAAGAAGCAGGAAAACAGAGTGAAGGGACACAGCACCTCAACTCTTTTATTCCCCGCGGGTTCACCCCAACACCACATGTGTAATATAAATGTGTAGGGGGTGTTTACAGTGTGAAGACACAGAAAATGTGTTATTTTATATGTTCTTCACAGAAAATGAGCAAAGGCCAAGCAATCTGAGGTTGAATAAGAAAAAATCGCATCATTTCTTATTTTGGCAAACATTGAAAATAGGTCCCACAGACCCCAACACCACTCAAGGGTTAAAATAAAGGAATAACTCTAGTAACTTTAGTATAGGTAGATACTAGTTGTTCTTACACTGATGTTTGGCTACATGTGTCTACTGTTGTGATCATGTGACCTGTTTTACTTTGCTTTATGTTCCGTTACTCTACAAGCAATTCTGTGATATTTCAGGTCAAATTTAATACAGATTCATATCAGATTCTTCTTTTATGAACTCCAACGTCTACATATCAAACCAACATCAATACTATGTATCAGATCAGTGCCATCTCAAGTTTCTCATTTCAAGGCTTGCCTGAATTTTGTTCTTGCTTTCTGAACCGTGTTTATGATTTTTCAGGAGGTTAACAAGTCCCTGACCTGCTCCTCCTCCTGTGCTGTTGTAGAGAACTTAGTGGCACGGCTGCACTCTTTGTTGTTCTGAAATGCTGGGCTGTTGGGAACAGCTGCTCCCAGATCGCTGGAAAAGAGGAAAAAAAACTACAACCCCAGTCTAAATAAGCACTCCGCACCACGGTATTCTTAGAAGCAGCCGTTGTCATGACCACTGGGCCGCTGATGGCGCTTTCTGTGGTCAGAAC